CGGCCTCGGCCGCGCCCTCTGCCGATGAATGAGTCGCCGAGGCCGCCCCGCCGGGCCCGGGGACCGAGCCGAGGCCCCGCCCCCCGCAGCCCCTCGGAGGGAAGGTGGGAGGGGACGTTGGGCAGCCCCCGCCCCGCCCCCAGCTCGCCTGGCAGTGGCCGCGCTGGCCCGCTGACCGCCTGGCAGGGCTTCCCTAGGCCGCAGGGCCGAGGCCAAGGACCGGCTGGTGCCCCTGGCGGCGTCTGGGGCAGGGGGGCAGGCGCTCGTCCCGCCGACCCCAAGCCTCTTCTCGGAAGGACCTCTGCCCCACGCTGACAGCTCTGAAGCCTTGGGGCTACAAGGTCAGAGTGACAGGAGTGCGTGGGGGTCACCGGGTTCCCGGGCTCGGAGCAGTCACCAACCCAGGCATCCAGATGTGTCTCTCGGCCCGTGAGCGGGAGGAGGTCAGAGGGCCCCACCCCCGCGACCGGGCCTCTTCTGGGCTGAGGGCACGTTTGGGGTCCAGCTCAGGCTGGACCAGGACGGGAGGTGCTGAGCGCGGTCTGCTGCCCGCCCAGAGCTGCCTGTTCCAGGCACCACTGGGACGTGCAGGGGCGCCGGTCAGGAGGATGGGGTCCAGGGGCCTTGGAGAAGCTGTTGGACCCCTAGCCAGGTGGGAGCGCCAGCTGGGCCTCTACACACGCTCAGTCCGATGGAACTGCGAGCAGGGCACTTACCTCACTCGGCCCCGGGGCCCCTCCCTTGGGGCCAGTATCCTCTGCCAGTGCAACTGGCAACTAAGGGGACCACGTGTGGGTTTCAGGGCTGCCTGGGCAGAATGTCACAATGGACGAGGGGGGCACGCCCCTGCTCCCTGACAGCCTCATCTACCACATCTTCCTGAGTTTGGGCCCAGCAGACGTACTGGCCGCCGGTCTGGTGTGCCGCCAGTGGCAGGCCGTGTCCCGGGACGAGTTCCTGTGGAGGGAGCAGTTCTACCGCTACTACCAGGTGGCCCGAGACGTGCCCCGGCACCCAGGTCAGGGCCTGCACGTGGCCCCACAGTCCACCAGGCTGGCTGGGAGGGCGGGAGGCAGGGCCATTCACATGCTGCCAGCTGAAGCCACAGCACTGGTCCCCAACAACCCAGATCTCGAAAGGGGTCACCGAGGCACCATGCAACCAGCCCGTGCCTCAGTACAGGACTGGCAGGGAGGCAGGGGCTTGGGGGTGCCAGGGGCACCCCTGCAGCTGAGGTGACATCCTCCAGGGGCAGGGCTGGCCCCTACGCTGTCAGGGTGCTGGCCTCTGTGGGGAAGGAGGCTCAGGGCCCCAGCGGTGACCACCCCCCACCCCCAGCGGCCACATCCTGGTATGAAGAGTTTCGGCGGCTCTATGACACGGTGCCTTGTGTGGAGGTGCAGACGCTCAAGGAGCACACCGATCAGGTGCTGCATCTCAGCTTCTCCCACTCGGGTTACCAGTTTGCTTCCTGCTCCAAGGATTGCACTGTGAAGGTGAGCCCAGCCCGCAGCAGCTGGGGCCGGGGGAGAGGGGTGGCCCCCAATGCTGATGGAGGGAAGTGAGTTCTGCTCCAGAGCCAGGGGCCAGCCACGTGGACCCACACCCCTCCGCGGGCAGCCAGGGGCAAGGAGCACCAGTCTGGTGGTGGTTTCTGGGCATGAGCCCAGCCAGGAGAGGGGCTTGCAGCATGGGCCCTGGGGTCCCGTGCAGGGTGGGCTCAAGATGCCCCCAGATGACTCCGCCCCCACGCAGATCTGGAGCAACGACCTGACCATCTCGCTGCTGCACAGCGCGGACATGCGGCCCTATAACTGGAGCTACACCCAGTTCTCCCAGTTCAACCAGGATGACTCGCTGCTGCTGGCGTCTGGGGTGTTCCTAGGGCCCCACAACTCCTCGTCGGGCGAGATTGCAGTCATCAGCCTAGGTGAGAGTGGGCCTGGGGCGGGCTGGCTGTCCTGGCCACCCCCACGCCGCCTCCTACAAAGCCCTGCACCCCCCCCCCAGCCCGTCCCAGCCCCTTCCCACAGCCCTGCCCCCACTCTCCCCAGACAACTTCGCCCTGCTGTCCCGAGTGCGCAACAAGCCCTATGATGTGTTTGGCTGCTGGCTCACGGAGACCAGCCTGATCTCGGGGAACCTGCACCGCATCGGAGACATCACCTCCTGCTCAGTGCTCTGGCTCAACAATGCGTTCCAGGTGCGGGCGGGCGTGCCCCCTGCGGCCGCTCCCTCCGTGGCCTGGTGCCCACCTGCTGTCTCCCACCCCCAGGACGTGGAGTCAGAGAACGTCAATGTGGTGAAGAGGCTCTTCAAGATTCAGAACCTTAACGCCAGCACCATCCGCACGGTGATGGTGGCCGACTGCAGCCGCTTTGACAGCCCGGACCTCCTGCTGGATGCCGGTGCGCCCCCCGGCCGTGTCTTTGACCTGGGCAGCGACAGTGAGGGCGAGGCGGTAGGCCCAGGACCAGGGCCTGCTCCAGCCCGCACCAAGGAGGGCTTGCGGCGATTCTTGGATGGGCTCCTGGACGGGCGGGCGCAGCCCCAGCTGTCAGAGCACGCGCTGGAGACCAAGGTGGCTGAGCTGCTGGCCCAGGGCCGCACCAAACCCCCAGAGCACAGCATGGCCGACGCCCGCAAGCTCCTCATCTTCACTACGGGCTGCCTCACTTACTCACCACACCAGATCGGTAGGGGAACAGGCCCTCCTCCGTCCCTAGAACCTGGGGGGTGAGACTTCCCTGCAGCCGGGGTGGGGTCCTGTGGCCAAGGGCAGGCCGTGAGTCTCTGGGCAGAGTTGGCTTCCTCTGTTTGTCCTGGGGGCCCTGCCCTGGGCCAGCCTCCTGGAGTGCATGTTCCGTGGGGGCCTCTGGTTCCTGCAGGCATCAAGCAGATCCTGCCACACCAGATGACCACAGCCGGGCCTGTGCTGGGCGAGGGGCGGGGCTCAGATGCCTTCTTTGATGCCCTGGACCACGTCATCGATGTGCACGGACACATCATCGGCATGGGCTTGTCCCCGGACAACAGGTGGGCCTCCAAGAGTGTACGGCCGGCGGGGGGGGCGGGGGGGCGGGGGGGGGGCTCTGCAGGCTGCTGAGACCAAGCAGGGTGCCCCTTGCCCAGGTACCTGTATGTAAACAGCCGTGCCTGGCCCAGCGGCTCTGTGGTGGCCGACCCCATGCAGCCACCGCCCATAGCAGAGGAGATCGACCTGCTGGTGTTTGACCTCAAGACCATGCGGGAGGTGAAGCGGGCTCTGCGGGCCCACCGTGCCTACACGCCCAATGACGAGTGCTTCTTCATCTTCCTGGACGTCAGCAGGGACTTCGTGGCCAGGTAGATGCGCCGGGCAGGGCCGGGCCGGGTCCAGGTGTGGCGGGCAGGGTCTCACCTGGGGCTCTCCCGCAGCGGGGCAGAGGACCGGCACGGCTACATCTGGGACCGGCACTATAACATCTGCCTGGCGAAGCTGCGGCACCAGGACGTGGTCAACTCGGTGGTCTTCAGCCCCCAAGAGCAGGAGCTCCTGCTGACAGCCAGTGACGATGCCACCATCAAAGCCTGGCGTTCACCACGCACCGTGCGCATCCACCAGGCCGCGCGCCCACGTCCCCATCCCTTTCTCTCCTGGTTTGCCAGCCAGAGGCGCTGAGAAGGGCACTGGGCGACAGGACCGTCCTGGGGCTGCTGGGACCCATTGAAGATGCCACAGAGGCCTGCAGCCCTTTCCCAAGGGCCCAGTCACTGCCCAGACCATGTGGTGGGCAGAGACACTTGTGACAGTCATGCCTTAGAAGGGGGTCCAGCAGGACTGCAGGGAGGGGACGGCCTGCCCCCCACCACACTCACACCACACGCCGCCTCCCACAGCTGTGACCTTCAGCACCGGGGCAGCCCCCTGGCTGGCTTGGGATGCACTGGACACTGGGGCCCCACTCTCCCCCACCCTGTTCCCCCAGGGCCTGTGCCCCGGGACAGTCAGCAGCATACATACCCTTTGGCCGGCCCCGTAGGGCCCTGGGCGGCCCCTCCTCTGGGAACACGTTTGCTCACCAGCAGGGCCGGCAGCACAGGTCAGTCTGCCGTGGGCGCAGGCAAACTGCATGTCACTGGTCACCTGTTTGGGGCCTGAATAAACAGTTGGCAATAGCACCCTGCCGTCCAATCTTTGTGGGCAGGGAGGGCCCCAGTGGTATCTACGCTGACTCTTGTGCCTGACTGACAGATGGCAGGATGCTTGAGGCTGTGGTGGAGTAGTGTGGCTCGAGGCTGCGTCCCCAGGCGCTGTCCCTGGAACCTCTGAGCGGACGAGGTCACCGATGTGCAGAAAGTGCCAGAGCACGTCCACCATGACGTGTGCTCGCCACCAGCAGGGAGGCGTAAAGGGGCACACCTGACCTGGGGAGGCGCTGCAGAAGACAGGGCCGCACACGGCAGGGCGGGGGCTGGGGGCGTGGGGGGGGGGCAGGAAGCAGCCCCAGCCACATTCTCAAGGCTTGACCCACATCTGTCCTGGGGGCTCACCTGCCCCCCTCATTTTGATGGGTGCTGGTGCCGGGTGGGGGTGCTGATGGGGCAGCAGGCCTGGTTTCCGTGCCTGGCTACACATGGAGCTCACTGTGTCAAACAGTGTTCCGTGCACGCACAGTGACCATCACCACAGTTGGGGGACAAACGTGGCAGACACGGACATGTCCACAAGAACGAGGCCAGAGGCAGTGCCAAGCAAAGGCTGCTGGCCTTGGAACCACACTGGTTACAGGGGGAGGGCTGGGCAGGGGCTGTGAGGGGCTCGGCCGGGAAGGCACAGGGCCCGGAAGGCACAGGGCCCGGAGGAGCTGCTCGTGGCCGAGTGTCCAGCAGCGTGGGCCGCGCACCCAGAGGACGCCCCAGCCCACAGTAACAACAGGGAAGCCCAGGGCTCCTGGGGTTCATGTCCAAACCCCCAGGCACAAGGACAAGGAGGGGAACTTGGAGACAAGGCCACAACAGCAAGGGAAGCCAAAACGTCCCGCACGCAGCACACCTGAGACCATCCAGAGCCACGAGTAGCCGGCAAGCTCCGCAAGGGCAAATACGCTCCTGACAAGTGGCAAAATGGAACAATTTTCTGAAGAGATCTTAAAATCATCGAGAACTAAATCTGTAAAACAAAAGCAGGGAAGAAGAATAAAAAACACCCAGACTCAAAAGGAAGCCAGTGGAACACAACAGGTAGAGTGAAATGGAAAAAAGGTTGGAGCAGACCCGCCTGGCATGAGAATTGGCAAGCAGAGGATGGAGAAGAAGAGATGCAACTGGACACAACCCAAGGAAGAGTCGGCAGTGTGGGGAGGGACGAGGCAGCACAGATGGGGCAGGAGGTGCTCCAGCTCATGCCTGCAGCGGGCACACTCAGGCAGAAAATGGCCCAAGTACACGAAGACAGAAGTCCTCAGAACACGTGAGAAGCAGCAGTGCCCATGAGATGCGGCACGGTGAGGCCACAGCCAGTGAGGGCCCCGTCCCTCCCACAGCGCAGCTAGAAGAGCTAAGCACTCGCCTGGAACAGGGTACGCAGCGGGCGGATGGGGAGCAGCAGACCTCCGTGTCCGTGCCCGGCCTGAGCTCAGAACAGCCTCGGCCTGGAAGTGAGCGCCCAGAGAGCAGCCTGCCAGGAGGACGGAGTGCTGGCCACAGAAGCCCACAGCACTGAGTGCGGCTGTAGCTCCAAGAGCCCGTTACTACTGTGCTCTCTGCACTGCTGCTGGGTGGACCCAAAAGTGGCCTTGTGACCAAGGAAGGGCATGACAGAGCAGCGCAGCAAGAGCCCCATGCCTCTGGCTGAAGGAGCAGACGGTGCTGCACCCAGGCCAGAGGGAGCAGCTTGGGAAGCAGCCCGGGAGGTGGCTATGACCGCTAAGGCTGACCATCGGGCTGCAGATGTGCACATCAGACCCAGACCGCAAGAACCTACAAACCAGTGCCCAATCCCCAGCCTAAGGACCAGCCCACAGACCGTGGTGGGCATGGGCCTAACCCTAACAAGAGCTGGTGCCCGTGAAGCAGACACTGACAGTCGTCCAGGAGTCAGACAAGACCCAGAGTGGATCAAGTGTTGTCCAGAATGTAACCCGCAAGTACTTGGCACACAAAGAACCCTCAAAATGTCAGCTCAGAGGAAAAGACATTCAGCGGGTGCCAAGGATGAAAAGACACAGATGTCGAGATTATCGGACAGAGACTCTGAAGCAGCAATCATAAAAACGCTTGAACAAGCAATCACAAACACTTCAATAGATGTAAAGATACAAAAGTCTCAGCAAGGAAACAGAAGATTTAAGAGGAGCCAAAGGGAAATGTTAGGACTGAAAAGCAAAATTTTAAAACTCACTGAACAGACAGACCAGCAGAATGGACACGACAGAAGAGTCTGTGAACGTGACTAAGGTGGACAGAAATTGTCCAACCTGAACAAAGGAAAGAAAACCATTTGGGGGAGAAATCAGGCCCCAGGGACCTGTGGGACAAACACTAAAGGTCTAATGTTTGTATCACTGGGAGCCCAAAAGGAAAAGAAAATGATCTGCAGAAACGACAGCTGAAATTCACCACCCATGTGGTGAAAGATACACACCCACAGATTCAAGAAGCCAAGTAAATCCAAATAGGATAAAGCTAAAGCATCCACACCCGGACGCATCTCATCAAACTGCCAAAACCCAAAACAGAAGAACCCTGACAGCAGTTGGGAAAGGTCATGCCCACCCAACAAGCTGCAGGCCCCCCACCGGCAGCCGGAACTGCTGTCAGCCCAGAATGCCAAAGCAGCGAAAACATCCTTCATGAATACAGGTGAAATAAACTCTCAAATGAAAGAAAAAGAAGAGACTCTGTAGCCAGCAATGGAAGGTCTTCTGACAAGAGGTAAATACATCAGAATGAGGCTGGGACACCAACAACGAGGGGACAGAAATGCAGACTCCTGTCGTCCTGAGTTCTTCAAAACATGTTTGACAGTCAAAAGAAAGGTAGTGATAATGTTTTCTGATGGAGTTTTCAGTCTAGTTATGGGGGGATGATAAAGGGACCCTTGGGGGTGAGGTGCCTACATCCCGGTTAAAGTGCAAAATACCGATTCCATCGTAAGCTGTTAAAAGTTGAGTGTGTTGCGGCGCGCCTGGGTGGCTCTGTCGGTTGGGCGTCTGACTCTTGATCTCAACTCGGGTCGTGATCTCAGGGTCATGAGTTCAAACCCCGTGTTGGGCACCACGCTGGGCATGGAGCCTACTTTAAAAAAAAAAAAAAGTACAACAATAAAAGTTAAGTGTGTTGTGAACCTTAGAAGAACCACTAAAAATACTACACAGAGAGAGACAAAATCACAATAGATGGACTAAAACAGATTAGCACAAAATGTTCAACGAATTCCGTCCTTCTAGGCAGCAGAGAGGAGATGGAGGGACAAATACGGAGGAACAAGAGAAAACAAACAACAAAATGGTAAACGTCCATCTCAGCACAGCAATGACTGCGTCACTGTCAAAGTGAAACCAACAAAAACAGAAGCCCTACAACCCCACTCTGTCATCGCTAATAAAGCACTTCAAATAGGACATGAGGGAAGGAAACAGCAAAAGGATGGAAAACCACATTCCACAAAAACACTCCTAAAAGGAGCCTTGACTGGCTATACTAACCTCCAAGTAGAGTGTGCCTCAGAAAGGAAGAGCCTTACCAGGGAGAAGAGGGATGCTGCCCGTGGGTAAAAGGCAACATCCGCCGAGAAGCTAAAGCATTGCCCAACGTGTGCACAGCTCACAAAAGAGCCAAAAACAGCCGAAGCGAAGTGGCAGAATGAGGAGAGCGCATTCGCAGCCAGAGATGGCACGCCCGCACTCAGGGCAGAACCCAACACAGCACTGTGCGCGTTTCCCAGGCTGTGGGAGCCAAGAACCACAAACTGGGGAGTCCCTTGTCTGACGGCTCTAGAGGTCACAAGTCCGTGCGCTTGCTGTGGGGGACCCTTCCTTGCCTCTTCTGGCTGCTGGTGGGGCTGGCCATCCTTGGTGTCCTCAGGTGCTGACCCATCAGTCCAACCCTCTGTCTTCACATGGCCTCCCCCTGGGCCCTTGAATCATCGTCCCTCTGCAGGTCTGTGTCCAAATCTCCCCTTTTTATAAGGCTCCCCGTCCTACTGGGCTGGGCCCACCCTATGCCTCATTTTAACCTGATTACCACTGTACAGACCCTATTTCCAAATAAGGTCACATTCTGAGTTACTGGGGATTAGGATGTCAACGCATCTTTTTTGGGGAAATATGATTCAACGTGTAAGAACTACCGACCAACTAGACTTAACTGAGCCGTATACAACACTGCACTCAACAAGAGCAGAGCACACCTTCTCTTCAAGTGGACAAGGAGCATCCACCAAGAGAGACCACAGCCTGCACCACAGGACAAAGCTCAACAGATGTCAGCACTTCCAAACTCCGTTTCCATAGGACCACCATAAGCCAGATACCAAAACCAAAGACTACAAAAAGGACAATTATAGACCAACATCCCTGGCAAATATAGATGCAAAATCCTCAAGAGATAATTAAATCAAATCCAGAAATAATACAAAATGAATTGTATGCCACGACCAAGTGGGATTTAATCTAGAAATGCAAGGCTGGTTCTATATTTAGAGAAAAATCAATGTAAGCCACCACAGGAACAATACAGAAGAACCACTGGACGTTATCACTTGATGCAGGAAAAGCATCCAAGTCATGATAAAGCCCTCAGCACACTGGACGTAGAAGGGAGCTTGCTCAGCCTGGTAAAGGCATCGGCACAATCTGGAGGTAACATCATACTTGCTGAGAGGGAACCTTCCCAAGACCAGGAACAGAGGCCAAGAGCGCCTCCTTCCACTCCTATTGCATCTCGCAGCAGGAAACTTAGCAGGTGGGATGAAGTGAGCAGGACGAATGAAGGGCATACAGACAGGAGAGGAATGAAATCGTCACTCACAGATGACATGATTGTTTATGTGGAAAAGCCCCAAAAAGCTACAAAACCAATTCAACAACCTCCTAGAACCAGTGAGTTTTATCAAGCTTACACAATATAAACAGAACACACAAAAAACAACTGTTTCTAAACACTAGGAATATATAAT